TTCTGAATATAGCCTCAGAGTGTGGTTCAAAAAAATCTGTCCAGTAGGGCTATGAGTAGATAGGGGAGATGTTTCTAAAAATCTGAAATATTAAAAAAAAAAAAAACAGAGAGGGGGGGGTGTTGTCTGCATTTCCACAGAAAGCACCAAAATACTGACTAAGATCCCACAATATCACTATCAGTATTAACAGCTAGGCATCGGGTTAAAAGAGTAAGATTTAGCACTGCCAATCCCCAGTTGGGGGCAGGGGATTCTACCAGTTTGGAGCCCCTCCCCCCACTTCAGGGCTATCAGAAAGCGAGGGAGGGAGAATAGCTGCTGTGCATTCCATTATACCCTATGGAGACCAGTCCCCATAGGGTATAATGGAGAATCAATCTGTGGGTTGCTGGGGCTCTGGAGGGGGGCTGCTTTTTTGAGTTAGAGGCACCAAACTTTCAGCATAGCTGCTGGTACCTCTCCTAAAAAACATCCCAAGTTTCAAAAGGATGGGACCCGGGGGTCCAATTCTATGAGCCCCAAAAGTAGGTGCCTCATCCTCTATTATTTCCAATGGAGGGACAGCATTTAAAAGGAACGCAGTCCATTTAAGTGCAATGGCAGCTCACCCAGAACTTGCTTCGGAGTTCCCTCTTCTGGAGCCTCCTGATAAGTCCCCCGCCCACTTGTCGGCCTCACATGGTCTGTGCAGGTGGCCATTAATAAGCTGTATGGGCTACCTCTGCCAGTGACAGTGACTGACAGTGCAATTCTACACAGAGCTACTCCAGTCTAAACCCATCGAAAGCAATGGGGATAGAGCAAGATCAGTGGTAAGATTGGACTGGGGCAGGAGGAGAGACAACAGGAGGAGTACCAGGCCTTGGGAGGTGGTGACAGTGGCTGAGTGGAGGGAGGAGGAGATGGCGGAAGGAGTGAGGCCGAGGGAACAGAGGAGATGGGACAGTAGCAGGGTGGGCATGGCAGCAGTGAGGAGAAGATTTTCCAAGGTTGGTAAGTGGTTGCTGCTTAATGGTCCAAGCATAGCTTGACGGCGGCAGTCCTTGTGAGAGGGGGAACCCTCTGGGTTCCCACCTGTCATATATCAGATTCTCATGATGGCTTCTCCGTGAAGGTCCAAAGCTCCTCACAATGGAGCCACCCAGGGCTAAGAGACAGGCTTTCATAAAAATCTAAACATATTTTTAAAAAACACACTGAGAGGACCCTAAAATTGTAAACGTGTTGGCAGTTTTTAACAAAAGAAAAACAGAATGCTGATTGAGAGCTCACAAGATTATGTTGCGGGATCTTGGTGTCCACTTTTTGGATAAATGCCACATGGGTCAAGCTACAGCTCGTAAAATAATACCAACATAAATATTTATTGTATGGTGTACACAATCGTGAAACTAAAAAACATAGGCCCTATGTTTTTAGCATCACTGTTTTGTACACCATATAATAAACATTTGATATTATTTTATCTGCTGTACCTTGACCCTTGTGGCATTATCAGTATATTTTGGGTTGAGTTTGTTTCTCCTTTTTCTTCATTTGCCCACTTTTGGATAGCCAGACAAGACAGCATGGTGGGGGGGGGAGTGAGGGAGGAGTGGGTGTTCTCTTTCGTTAAAAGTCCTCAAATGTCCCCTGCTTGTATATAATAGGTATACAAAACAATACCTTTATTGGCATATAAAATCAGTAAGATAAGAACCTTGTCAAGCTAAAATTACATCTAAAATCTTAGAGCACACCAATATTAAGAATAGTTTCTTGCTACCAAAATCCTTTCCTTTTGTACCTTTAGATGCTCACTGATTCACAAATCTTGAGCAGCGGAAAACATTTATAATGCGAGGGCTAAAAGGACGGAGACAACTTTTGATAGTAAGGGCTTAATCAAAAATAGTCAGATATGTGAATGGAAGGGGCAGCATAGCAGAATATGATCTAAGGTATCGGGTTCTCTAAGTGAGCATTTGCAGATTCTGTCACATTTCAGAATGCCTCTATATCTACCTGAGACCCAGGATGAAGGGAAAACATTGAATCTGGCCAGCATAAAGGCTCTGCATTGCAGTGGGATCACCAGATTAGAGAAGTGTTGGGCCATACTATTTGGTGCATATCTGAGGCCAAGGGAAAGGGGGGAACAAGTGCCCTCGGCACCAGCCCAGATTGTTTGGGCTTCGGTGTCCCAAATTCTTTTACGAATCGTCTGGTATATAAAGGTCTCATCTTGGGATTTTGGGTTAGAAAGAGTAAATAATAGGGGTGAGCAACTTCTGCGGGTTCTCCAAATCAAACTACTATGGTCGATTTCCAGGAAAGGTCTCATCTTGATTTTCCAAGATGTCCAGGTCATTGCCAATTGAGCGTATTTTAGAAGTTATAGCCTGTGACCACTTGGATACATACGGCACTAAAATGGATGTGGAGCCAATATTTAATAGTGGTGATCCATGCCCGCAAGTCTAGCAGATGGAGACCCAGCTCAGCACAGAGAGAAGAGTTAGGTAGTCCAAGAATGTGTCGCAAGACGATTGCATAAGTTTGGTCAATTTCTTTAGTAAAACTCTGAATCCACACAGGGATTCCATATAGTAAGCGAGAAACTACTGTGGCCGGGAAAATTCGAAGGGTGGCCAAGGCGAACTGGTTTCCTTGTCGGTAATAAAACTGAGTGACAGCTGAAATCCAGTTTTTAACTAAAAGAAGCAATTGGTCCCGATGGGAAGACCAGTTTAAATTATAATGAAACAAAATACCCAAATACCTAAAGGATCTAACTTGCTCAATTTCCCTCCCATCAATTTTCCACAGGGTGCGTTTCCACACCCTGGAGAAAACTAGGATAGGTATACTGCGCAGCTGTTCTGCTGTCATGGTGAGGCAGGATGGGTAGAAAGTTTCTACTAGTTGAGCTGCTCTGATCCTAAGGGTCTCTGACATCAGCTGGTTAACTAACTCAGGACTGGTAGAACAGCTGGCGGGGGGTGGGGAGGAGGCCATGGGAGTGTAAGAAGGCAGACATTCAAGTGAAGTGGAAATTGTCCAATAGAATGTGGAACAGGAGAATCTAGAAGGAGAAGCCTGGCAGAAGAAAAGAAGCTGGGAAATAAAAAGGCAGACAAGAGATGTACTTACGATTAGCAGCTGCAGAAAGGAGAAAAGCAGAATTCTCTTATTAATTTGAAATAACTGGTTTACTAAGCACTGGAAGTCCTGTATTAGCTACCTTATATTGGTGACCTGTTCTTCTGGTGCATAATTTTTCTGTCCTAGTTCATTTGGGATAATTGTATCTCTTAACCTTTGGCTAACCTTTCTTTTATGTTAAGTCTGTCATACACAGTGACTGGCAAGTCAAATTCTTATTATTCAGAATTATTAGTGCTTACAAAGGGTAGTAATTAAGGTAGCAGCTTTTTTGGCAAGCCCCAATTCCTTCTTCACACCAAGGGAACTTGCCTTATTTATTCCAAGTGAGAATGGCTGTGGGCTTTTTGCATCAAGAGACATAGTCTCTACACAGAAAAGTATACATTTTTGAATGTATACTTGAAAATTACTGTCATTCCTGCCAGCAATAACACTCCTGCAGCATTAAAATTTTGCACAAGGCAGAATGTGAACTAGCATAATGAAAATGATTTTAAAGTGATGATAAAGATCCAAACAATACGAACTTTTAAACAATACCAATACCAAAGTTCTACACTACAGATACTTCCAGATGTTATTATCGTATGACAGATATAAAGATCTCCTGATGTTTTCTGTGTATGTGCTTCAGATTCTTATGACTGCTATAAATACAGCAAAGGAAGAAGCCAAGTAGACCAACAGAGTATCTAAATATTTGCAGTGGAGCATGGTGGAAAATGTAAGAGAATATTTTAAAAAGAGTTTTTAAAAAGTCTTGTCACTTTAAGGTAAAGGTAAAGGTTCCCTTGCTCAAAGCCAGTTGAATCTGACTCTAGGGTTGCGGTGCTCATCTCCGTTTCAAAGCCGAAGAGCCAGCGTTGTCCGAAGACATTTCCGTGGTCATGTGGCCAGCATGACTAAACACCAAGGCACATGGAACGCTGTTACCTTCCCACCGAAGTGGTACCTATTTATCTACTTGCAATTTCTTGCTTTCGAACTGCTAGGTTGGCAGGAGCTGGGGCCAGAGACGAGAGCTCACTCCGTCATGCGGCACACTTGGGTCTCGAACTGCTAAACTACCGACCTTCCACAGCCTGCAGTTCAGCGTCTTAACCACTTGAGCCACCGCAGCTCCTCTTGTCACTTTATAGAGCTTTAAAAGAGAGAGTCCTGTACACAATTTGAGAGTCCAAGGCCTAGTTCTTAGAAACAAAAGATAAGATTTGATCCTGCAATCCCAAGTGTTGCAGTCCTCTAACAGATTAGGACCTCATCTTCTGTTTCTAAGAACAAAGCCTATGGCCAGTGCACATGGAAGAGGACTGGGGAATGGAATGGGTGGAGAAAGCAGGTCATGTGGGAGGGTCTGGGCAAAGGAGGATTGTTTAATTACTTGTTCAGGATGGTGGTGGATATAGTGAGACAGATTTTGGAGTGGGAAAGGGAATTCAAATGATACAGGGTACTAAGGAAAATGCACATAAGTCGGGTCAAAGTGGTCAAAAATCCCCTACAAATAATAGATGAATACCCGAAATATTAATTTTATCTGCGCGGAAGTAAGAAGCTAAGCAGGGTTGGTACTTGGATGGGAGACCACCATGGAAGACTCTGCAGAGGAAGGCAATGGCAAATCACCTCCGCTTCTCAATTACCTTGATAGCCCGTTGCCGGGGTCACTATAAATCAGTTGCAACTTGATGGCACTTGTGTACATATGTGATTTTGTCTGCATTCCTCCTTAACAAGCATTTTATAATCCAAGCCTGTTTGGTTATGAGATTTATACATTTTTAATCCACTATCTGCACCTCTTTTATCTGTCTTTACTTATGTTCTCTTTCACTTCTGCATTTCAACAGCTTCTCACAAATGCCAACACCTTCAGTGAAAGATGACAACATCACCATATTCACCAGGATTCTGGATGGTCTTCTGGATGGATACGATAACAGGCTTCGACCAGGCTTGGGAGGTACTAGAAGTCATTTTATTTTCATGCTCTTTTAAAATATTATGCAGTTGCCTCCCAACCTTACAACAGTTTTCAAAAGAATATGGAGAGAGTGCCAGAAGTGTAGTTGTAGTAGTTAGAGGGTTAAACTACAACCAGAGAAACTGAGATCCACAACCCCACTCTGCCATGAAGCTCACTGGGTGTCACTGGTCTAGTTGCTCTTTCTCACACTAATCTGTCATACAGAAGAAGGAGACCACGTATGCCATCCCGAGCTCTGTGGACACTGGGTGAGACTTAAGAAAACCCAAACAAATAAAATTGTGCTGCAAAAAGCCTCCGATACTTTTGCTTCCTGTCTTGTATTTAAAATGTGCTGACACTTAGATGAGTGTTTGAGTCTATGTGTGTGTGTACATTGGTATAGCTGGGAGACAAGGAAGTATGGAGGTACCACCTGAAAGGGAGTTGTGGAAATATGTATGAAAGTCAACCAGTCATCTGGCATACATGAATATATGAAGCTGCCCTAGCCTGTGTTAAGACTATTGATCTGTCATGGTCAGGATTGTCTACTCTAACTGCCAGTGGCTCTCCAGAGCCTCCCATTAGAAGTCTTTTCCATTATCTACTACATGATCCTTTTTAAACTGGAGATTCCAGGGGCTGAACCTAGGACCTTCTGCATGCAAAACAGGTGCTCTCCCACTGAGTCATAGCTCCACCCTTATTGGTCTAGTACTCATTTTTTAATCGAAATGTATTATATTGTATTGTTTTGCATTTTGGAAAATTTATGTATATGTGTATGTATACAATTGTCCTGACCTGGATAGCCCAGGCTAGCTGTCAGCTGAAATGCTTATCTGTAACGATGTGCAGGTGGGAGTTGTGTTGTCTGCTTTTTTCCAGGGAGCCGTGGGAGAAGGCGAGTTCCCAGCTTTGGCTAGAAACTGTTTGCTAGCTTTATCCCGCGTGCGGGAGGGTGCCTAATTGGCCAGCACAGTGGGGGGTGCATACAAATACCCTATATCTTATTATGTCCAAGGGGCAACTGCCATTCTTAACAATGACTATGTTAACGCATCTATAGCTCTTCAATAAAAGTATTACCTTTCCTGAAAGCGTGTACTACGTTCTTGGCTGTGGGATCTGACACTAGCCTGATCTCATCAGATCCTGGAAGCTAAGCAGGGTTGGCCCTGGCTAGGAGACAGGGAAGTATAGATGGGAGACCACCAAGTAATCCCAGGGTCATGATGTGGAGGCAGGCAATGGCAAACAACCTCTGAACATCTCTTGCCTTGAAAACCCTCTGGGGTCACCTGTGTCAGCTGTGAGTTGACAGCAAAAAAACAAACACAAACACACTATACAAACATACCCATTCCCCCCCTCATTTAAGTATGGCCTCAGTTTTAATCCAGATACACTGGCTCAAATAATGAAGTCAGCCTATGTATCTGTAGAATGAATTCACACTTCTAGTGTTCAAGTGGCAACACTGAACAGCATTTAGCAACCTTGTTTAATTTAATGAATTGATTTGCAGTTATCTTTGGAATAATATTTTCCAGAATCATATGCCGGTTAAATTAAATTTTATGCAGTTACTGTATCACAGTCAAATAAGTAACTTAGAATTGTGATTTTTTAATTTTATTTTATGGAATATATATCACTTACTACAGAATGCAGTTGGGGTGGTTTCCTCATAACATGATACTGGCAATAAGGCATCAAGTTTTCATGCATGTTACATTACACTCAGTAATAATATCAGCATGCTTCCACATTTCTAGAGGTGAGGAGGATATTATTTTCTTTAATGAAACTGGAGAAAAATGGCTGAACAGTATCAAACCCCATTAAACTGATGGGCAAAAACTCCCTTTCATCATAACAACCAGGTAGTAACAAACTGAAACATGTGAAAACTGGTCAACAGATATTATGAAGTGTTGTGTTAAGATTAATTTTACTTTTTCCTATGGTTCATTTCAGTGATCAGCTTCAGGGACAAGGGTGCTCATGTGCTTACCTTCTGATAATTTTAGTAGAAGGAACAATTCTGCTGATATATATTTGTGTACATATAGAGATTTCCTGTCTGTTGAGGTAGCCAGTTTTGAGTTCATAGGTGGTTTCTTATAGGTGGTTAGCCATGTTTGTCTGCAGTACAAGAGCAAAATTACTATGAAGTGAGCTTTGACTACCGAATGCTTATATCCTGGAAATCTTCTTGGTCTTTAAGGTGCTGCTGGACTCGAACTTGTGGTTTGTATGTGCTTTTCAAGTCAGTGACATACAGGACTTCTGTTCTTGTGCATTGGTCTTGTAGGTTAGGTGCTCTTTTATTGCTGCTTCTGTTATTATGTAACTTCCTCAATGTGCTAAGTACTATACAATAGAGATATGCATTCAGATCTTTCCAGTTAGAATATATATCCGAAAAATACCTTATTGGTAGTTTCTGTATATATTTGGGTGTCCGGATAGTATTTGGGATTTTTTGGGGGTACCAGGAAATGGGTCTGGAAAAATCTTGGAAATGTTTGGGACTAACTGGGAATATCAGGAGCCAGTGTTTTTCTTTAATTTTACCATGTGTCCGGCTTTTTGCCAGGGCTTGGTATCAGCTTGTCAGGTTGATTTGACTTGGATTCTGTCCTTTGAAACTGGGTTTGCTGTTCTTGCAATGTTGTGTTCTTTGCTTAAGTTAATTTGCATCAGGTTTGTGGTTTGCATTGGATTCTCTGGTTCAATATTAGATTGGATTCTTAGATTCTACATTGGCTGGGTTCCCAGGTTTGATATTTGTTGGGCTTGCAACATCCTTCCTTGCTAACGTTCTTCGGCTTGGGGGGATTCTCTGGTTTGACATTGTTATGGATTCTCTGATTTGGCATTTGTTGTGTTAGGCTTGCCATGTTGTCCTGGGCTTCTGCTGGGATTCCCTGGCTCTGCATTGATTCTTTGGGCTCGTTGGTTCTATTTGCATTGTGAGGCTTTCGGCCACTGATTGCTCTGCTTGTTCTTGAGTGTTTGGTTACTATTTGTCCTGGAGAAAGTTTGGCATTCCAACCCCCCCCCATAGGAAACAACAGAGGATAGTTAGCGGTACCTTGTTCAGGGACCCATAGAATTGGACCTCTTGGTCCAATTAACTTGAAACTTGGCCTTTGTTTAGTGGACAGGTGCCAGTGACTCACCTGCAATTTTGGTGTCATTAGCTTAAAAAACAGGCCTTTGTGCCCCCCCCCCCGCCCAATGATTCTCCATAGGGAATAATGGAGTCAAATAATACTGGAATCTGAAAGAAAACCCAGATCCAAATACTAAGCCAGTGTTTGGAACTTGGATAACCAGGAATACTGATATTTTTCAGTTCCCTCATATCCAGATCCAGAACATACAAGTGATAACCAGGAATACTCATGTTTCTCAGTTCCCTCATATCCAGAACATACAAGTTTTTTCAAAGCAGGCATCTGTATTATGCAAAGTGTAGAACTTCTATGGTCACTGTGTTGGACAGGACCCAAAAGCATTTTAAAAAATTCGGACCACACTCGGAAGCCATAACTAGCCTAAACATACATGCCTCAGTTGGGTTTTTTCTTTGACTGTGTGGAGATCTGTGCTGCTGTTCCTCAAAAACAACCTGTAAATAAGTAAATATCCTTTGTTGTTTACATACAACCCGTGCCTCTGTGATTTCCATGTTCTACTTGCTCACGACAAAACTCACCTCACAGCAGTGAACCCAAAGCCTTTACACTTGCTGCCCTAAGAACATCTTGTAACTGAGGGAACAGTTTACAGTTTAAAACAAACCTGGCTTCCTAGAATCATGAGGGGCATGTGGGCCCCCTCAGTTGGTAGAAAATGCTTGTCACAGTCACCACCCAGAGGCTAAAACAATTTTGAAGATACTGCTGAAGGATTAAGTTATGACTTCACAGGGGTAAGAAAGGGTAGGGTTGATGGGCTGTAGAGAGCATAGAGGAGGTGGATAGCATCTTGAAAGGCTTTCTGGAATACGATAGATTTGGGAAGTCGTAGAAGGTCTTCTCTTTTATTCTTCCTCCAAACACTGGTTCACAACTAGTGCCACTGTGCCACATGTAATTATTTATTACATAGAGTTAGATCCAGAGGTGCCCTCCTACTCATGGAAGATGTCCTTGTAGGACCAGAAGTCTCTTTCTGCGAATGGAAAGACTCTCTGTGATCAGAAGGGCATCTCTGGATCCTGGCCTATGGTTTTGATCTAACTCTTAGTATGTAAAATATTTTAAAAGTGCCTTTTCAAAGAAGCTCAAACACAACTGTTTATAGCATAGAATGTACATTAATTAAGTCAGAAGTGCAAAGGTAGATGTAAAGTGTAAAGATATTTATTTATTTAATTCGAATAGAAGAACCCAACATGATGTTCTCTTTTTTGGCCCTCACATTGTTGGTAAGCCGCTAATCAAAACAAGGGTTGTCTGCTTCATCTATCCATTATATGTCCAACCTTGTACATACAATGCTCCTACAGCGCACCAACATTACCTTTTGTAATGTTCGCAAAGTTCTGCTGCAGAATTCACCATCTATGCTTACTCATATTTCCAATCCACTGTGTTCTTCTGTTATTTGCACAAAATGAGTTCAGAGCTGAAAAAAAGGATTGTGCACGACAAACTAAATGGTGAGCGTTATACATTGCTTTTGAGAGGGTGAAGGAGAGGTTGCCAAAAAGTACACAGGCACAATTTATACTGTTAGACATTGGAGTTCATTTACTGAACCAATATCACCAATGTCTGCCAGCTGGGCTGGCTGGAGTTCCTTGCTCTCTGGCATGGGGACCCTTCTTGTAGTTGTGATGATGAATACAAAACACAATCCTGCTAACATTTATAGTCTAATATTTGTTCAACCGCCACAGAAATAGCCAGACTTCCCTCTAAATGAGGCAAGGATATTTGCACCATGTCAAGAGGCCAAGTTCCCACAATGATTTCAGGTTTTGTTTGATAACTTAGGTGTGTAAAACAACTAGTGTTATCTGCTCTCTCTCTCTTATTCGTCTTATTCTTCCCGGCAAGTACTTCATAACAGGAGGCAATTATTCATTCAATTTATTATCCCATCCTTCCTCTAGGGAGTAAGAGTGGTATGCACAACCTCCTACCCAATGCTCCCTCTAAGCTATGGAATCCTGTGAGCAAAAATTCTACTTTGTGAGCTACTGGCATTAAAGTTGTGAGTGAGCAATTTGGCTGCTGCATAAATTTAGTTAGCTCTGGATCCATCCATCCTGAGCTAAGGCAAAAATATGTGAGCCGGAGGCTAAAAAACTGTGAGCTAGCTCACACTAACTCAGCTTAGAGGGAACACTGCCTACCCATTTGATTGTCATAGCAATCTTGTGCGGCTGGCTGCAGTAAGAGGTCATGATTAATCAAACTCACCCAATGTTTTCATGGCCGAGCTCTCCAGCACTGTAAACCTGTACACCACATCGGCTTTCCAGCCTGCAAAGTGATGAGGCAATGACGTCTGGAAGCTTTTTCCTTGATGATAGCAGCATACAGAAACGGATCTCTGGCTACAGGCAAAAAGCATGCTTAGTAACCTGGCCCCACTGGTGGACCTCCTGATGGCACTGGTATTTCTAGCCACTGTGTGATACAGAGTGTTGGACTGGATGGGCCTTTAGCCTGATCCAACATTGGCATCTCTTATGTTCTTGTGTTCTTATGTAACGTATCTATTTAGTTATTATAGTAACTCTTGTCTAACTCTTCCTTCAGGAAGCTTCAGATGGGGCTCCTAATGGTCATGTGTAGACCAGATTCCAACTTCTTTAGTTTGATATAGAATTAAAAGGTCCCAGTCCAATCATGACAACTGTCTGTTGGCACAGAAGTCACTGATTCAATATTTAAATTTCTTTGTTGCAGAGAGAATCACTGAGGTGAAAACAGATATCTACGTCACCAGTTTTGGGCCAGTGTCAGATACTGAAATGGTAAGTTATGGCCTCCAGTTTCTAAATACAGGCGCATATTAAACCATCCACAACCTTCATAGTACAGGGCTTTCCTGCTGCAACCCAAGGAGCCCTCCCCCCAGTATTGCTTCTGGGGAATAGTGGACCCTTAAGAACAGCGTACAGGCCATGTGGGAGTCTGTAGTAGAAAAGGAGAATTGGTGGAAATTGCCGCTGTCCTCTTCTGAAGGTTTAGTGCCAATAGATCTTCACAGCTGCATGTTTGGATACATGCTGTGACTTCTTGTGATTTGGGGCGTGTGTGGAAATGATCATTGCTGGTGAAATACATTACTGATGCGACTATCTCTGTTTTTCACCAGGAATATACAATTGATGTTTTCTTCCGGCAAAGCTGGAAAGATGAAAGACTTCGGTTTAAAGGGCCAATGCAACGCCTCCCTCTTAACAATCTCCTGGCCAGTAAGATATGGACTCCAGACACTTTTTTCCATAATGGTAAAAAATCTATTGCCCACAACATGACCACCCCAAACAAGCTTCTGCGCCTTGAGGATGACGGGACTCTTCTGTATACAATGAGGTGAGTCGGTGGCTTGCTGACCAGTCTCTTTTCCTGCTTCTTCACAGCAAAGTCAAGGAAGAGGTCTCTAGCACATGTTTTATGAGCATATCAAAAGAAAGGGGAAAGCATAAAAATGCTTTACTAGTAGTGATTAACAAGCAGCTTCAGAACAATACTGATTTTTTTAAAAAAAGAAAAGAAAAGAAATGTGTTGTTTGAGGGCCAGAAGATTCAGACGTCTTCTTTCCCCCGCACCCCAAGTGGATGGGTTCCCTCCCATTGTAAAGATTTGCAGTAGATCTCCTGGTTTTCATCTAAGGCAGAAAGCTGAGCCTGTCATTGGGTTGGTACATTCTGAACAATCAAAGCCAGGGGTTTTTTGCAGTCCTAATTTAATCCGAAAGGGCAAGAGGCTAAAACGGTAGCTGGTGTGTGAAAGGGACCTTATTTTAGCAGGTGCCCTTTTCAAATCAAGCATATGTTCTGTTCGTAGTCTTTGTGAATAAGAACAATTTCAAAGCTCTCTTGTGAACTGGTGAGATTAGAAGCACTTGCTGTTGTACTGCAGAATCATTCGCATTGAGGGTGGCAGCATATAAGCAAGTAAATGTTCTGCGATAAGATGGAATACGAATCCTATTAAGAGTGTGATCACGTGCAGACAAATTCAAGGGATAACTGAAAAGTATTAACACGCCTCAGTATTGTAATCTCATATATGAAGAGCTGGAATACCTTCTCTGGGGCTTTTCGGGTTAGAAAGAAGATGGCAAGGGAGGGTGTGTGTGATAGAGGTTTATAAAATTATGCACGGAGTGGAAAAAGTGAATTGAGAGAGCTCCCCCCCCCCACTCCCATACTATTAGAACTTGGGGGCATGGCACTCAATGAAGTTGGTGGGCAATAGGTATAGGACAGACAAAGGAAACACATTTACTCAATGCGTCATTAAATTTTGGAATTTACTGTGAGTAGACATTGTAACGGCCACAAGAATAAGTGGCCGTTGGAAGGGTTACATAAGAACATAAGAGACGCCAATGTTGGATCAGGCCAAAGGCCCATCCAGTCCAACACTCTATGTCACACAGTGGCCAGAAATACCAGGTGCCATCAGGAGGTCCACCAGTGGGGCCAGGACATTAGAAGCCCCCTCCCACTGTTGACCCCCCCCCAAGCACCAAGAAGACAGAGCATCACTTGCCCCAGAGCCCCTATCTATACCTTGTGGCTAATAGCCACTGATGGACCTCTGCTCCATATGCTTATCTAATTCCCTTTTGAAGCCGTCCATGTTTGTAGCTGCCACCACTTCCTGTGGGTTAGACAGCTTTGTGGAGGCAGTGAGTACCTGCCCTAGGAGGCAGCATCAGGGGAGAGCCTCAGCCTCTATGGCATCCAGGGCAACTGGCTGGCTGCTGTGGGAAACTTTATGCTGGGCTAGATGGACCATTGGTCAGATCCAGCAGGGCTCTTCTTTCCTTCTTATCTGCCAAGGCTGAGGAAGGCCTGACTCATAATGAGTTTTGCAAACTCCTTAAAAAACAACAACTATTTTTTTAATTTTAACGCAGTATTAACTAACAATACAACATTACTGTAATTCTGTGGTAATTCTAAAAAATTAACAGCTATACAAATCTGTAAAAAGGTGAGAGATGTTTGAAAGAGGAGTAATTAATCCAGTCCATATACTGAGAACATATTAAAGTCCTAACATCTAAACAAACTACTAGCAAGATTTTCCTCTGTCAGTCCTTACCAGGTGGTGAGTGGGGAGGCACGAAGTTGTACATTTTGGGTTCTTTTAGCATTATCCAAAATATTCCCAGCTGTAATTTTGTTTAATATCCACTTGGCTATTTCAACAAATATAAGCTATCTCAAACCAAGAGTGCAGGTGGGATATAACTGTTTTAATAAGTAATAAATAAACCCAGCTTTTAAAAAAATAAACGTTTTATTAATTTTCCACCAAAAACCATAGAACAATATAAGAAACCTATATACATTGTACTTACATAATGAAGGAACATATAGTGTTTTACAGGGCTGTATACACAAATTAAGTAATTACCATAAATGAAGTGTATCTGTTACATCTGGCATTTCTTTTTGGTGAACAAGATATGATAAGATTGGTAACCATATGATGGTAAACTCACTATAATCAGTAACCTTATCTATTGGTCTCAGTATATCTGTTAATTTTTCCATTATATATATATTCCATAACTTCGTATGTCATAAACTTAATGTAGGTTTGTGTTCTGATTTCCATTTTGTTGCTATTGCTGTTTTGGCAGCAAATGATAATATCGAGAAACCCAGCTTGTTAGTGCTATCATCCCACCCTGACCTGGACGGCCCAGGCTATCCCAATCTTGTTAGAGCTTTGAAGCCAAGCAGGTTTGGCCCTGATTAGTATTTGGATAGGAGACCACCAAAAAATAGCAGTCTCTCCCTGCAGAGGCAGGCAATGGCAAACCAGCCCCAAACGTCTCTTGCCTGACAATCTTACGGAGTCACCATAAGTCACCTTTAACTTGATGGCACTTTGCACACACACCTTGTCCCAGTCATGTTTAGCACTGAATGCTTTTCCAGCTGATTTCAGTTTCTTCTGATGTCTCTATAAACTGCCTCTGGTTTTAGACTGGAGGGTGTTGCCAGGAGATTATCTCTACTAACAAAGAACACCTATGGGCGACAACAGTCAGCCAGCATTCTTTGTCATTGACATAGGAATTAACAGGTGCAATACCTACATGCTCTCTGATTTTACAAATAAGTTCCAAATAATAGTGAGGCTAAAATTTGCTTATTGAGGGCAGTTGTGGGTAAGAAGTCTGGAAGCTGGTTAACAATCAGGTAGCAGGGGGAAGGAATGGACGGGCAGTTTTCATAGCTTATCACAGTTTATCAAAGGGAATAAGAGGGGATCCAAATGGGGAAGGCGCTAGTTCACTTTTTCATAAACAGCCTCGAGTAAAGGGAAATTTGGTAATGAGTTATAAAATACCACACTTTCTGCAAAGGACACGATTTCTGAATTATTGAACCCCTTTCTGTCCTGATGCACTTTAAAAAATGACCATAAATCCTGGCCTCCGTAACCTCAGCGATCAGAGGATTCTCTCCTAACAGTGACCACCTACTGAGAAACATCAGCAGACCATGCTGAGGAAAAGCAAAGGATGAGCAATCAGCAAAGCTTCAGGCTGGAGGGAAAAATACTTTTAATCCCAAAGCCATGATCAACAGGCATCAGTACTGATAGCTGTTTTTCTGTTGAAGTGTGCCTGAGAGTCAGACATGTTCAGCAGCTGTATATCAGTCTGCAAACCAAGGCCTGAACTGGATGATACAGCAGGCCTGGGGACACCCATCATTTTGAAGCCGTGAGTACCTAGCCATGTTCAGGTGGGCAGCCGTGTTGGTCCAAAGTGACAGAACAAAGTTTGAGCCCAGTGGCACCTTTAAGACCAACAAAGTTTTATTCCGGGTATAAGCTTCCGTGTGCATGCCCACTTCTTCAGATACCTAGCCAGGAACACCTTCAAACTATGCTGTGGGGGCCCGGTGCTGCGGTTGAGACTGGTGGGGGGAGGGGGGCTGCTGCTGGCTCCCCTTTTCCAGCTTTTTCCCACTCTTCCAGCTCTGTGGTGGTCCCCCAACCACAAATGGGCCCCATGGCAAGCTTAAAAGAGCTCCCAGCTGGGCACTCGCTGACTCAAAATGGTGGGTGTCCATGGGGACATCTATCCCATCATGCCTGGCCCTGAAAGAACCCATACAGATCATCAGCATCTGTCAGACCAATGCACCCATGGAATTCTTCTGCATCACAAATGGGTAGGCCTCTGTTTAAGTTCTCTGTTCCTCTTGAATGCTGGGTACCCTGGAAAATAGTGCTCTTCAAAGCAACTTTGTATGGGTCCTGTAAGCTACATGTTCCAAGGCTCCTCCTTGCACCTGGGATAACCACACACGGAAGCTTACACCTTGAATAAAACTTTGTTGGTCTTAAAGGTGGCACTGGACCTCAAACTTTGTTCTGCTTCTTCAGCCAACACGGCTACCCACCAGGTTCCAGAGTGTTAGACTGAGAAGGTGGATCCACAAGTACCTCCCTCCCACCTCAGAATCATAAACCACTGTGCAAATTCACAGAGACCTGGTCCTGCTTGAGAATTCCACACCAAAGAGTGCGGGAAGCATTTCTGTAATTCAAGTGTCAGCTAAACTGTGTCTGAGAATTGCTCTATCACCTTTAAGTTCATGGATCCAAAGACCAGCTCCAGGTTGCAGTGTGCCCCATAACTGACTATTGAGGCAATCTGGAGAAAAGCCTTCAATTAATTAATTATTCGTTAATTAAAATATCACACCCATCTTTTCCTATAGCTCAAGGCAGCATACCAGTTCAAATTTAATGCATACCTAGTGCGATAGCACCTATTAAAAGCCTAGCAAATAGTCTCCTTTCAGCTCCTCTTAAGTATCTCTGGAGCAGCCAGAACAGCCCAGGCTAAGCAAGGTCAGCCCTGGTTAATACTTGGGTGGGAGACCCACTGAGGAAGTCCACAGTTCGCATGCAGAGGCGGGCAGTGGCAAACTGCCACTGTTTGTCTCTTGCCTTGAAAACCCTGCTGGGTAATTGTGACTTAGAATAATAGAATCATAGAGTTGGAAGGGATCTCCAGGGTCATCTGCACAATGCAGGCAATTCAAAAATACCTCCCCCCACACCCCCAGTGATCACTGTTCCACACCCAGAAGATGACAAAAAAAAAACCCTCCAGGATCTCCAGCCAAACTGTCCTGGAGAAAAATTGCTTCCTGACCCCAAAGTGGGAATCAGCATTTCCCTAAGTGTGTAAGAAAGGGCCACAAGAACTAAGCACTGAGGCAGCCCTTCCTGCCCTCCCTCTCATGATCTGCCTAAGTTCACTTGATGGCACTTTTATTTAAATACCTAGAGACAGCACCGTCCTCAGTTCCTCAGGGAACCTATT